AGTGACATTCGCCAAACAGACTTAATCTCTCTTAATCATCTTACTGTTTTTTCCCATAACCTTTGGAAGCCCATCATAAAAGTTCAACGTTTAAGCTGAAAAATTAGGGAGAGAAAACTTCCGATGCATTGTGTATTGATACAGTACCGCCATTTAACTCAGTGCTGAGGTGGTTCGCAGTTTAGCTATCCGCTCCATACTCGTTCCACCGTCGCAGTTGAGAACAGTGGCGAGTCAGTTCAGAGGATCTTGGGATAGCTGTGTTATAATCTCTGTGGAGATGGGTGGACCAGCACTTTTTATGAACCCTACTTCAGCCGTTAACCGCGATCGTGTTCTCCTTTCACTCTCAATGACTCATGACCATAAATGAATACAAAAGCGATCGTCGACTAAAACACAAACAGATTTGTAATCAGACTTAGTTGTGTTTTGGTTACGATCGATCGGCATTCGAGGAGAGCTCTGCCAACCATTCCTCTCCGTTTGACGATATCTTCTTTTAGCCAGCTTTCTGTTGCAATGTAATGTATATCATGATGTTGAGAAAGTTTTTCACCTGTTTCGTGGACAACCAGCACACTCCTCTCCGTGAAGGGAATCAAAATAATATTCATGGTTCAGTTTTGCACTTGACTCACGTGCACACAAACCATATTATACTCGGGATATCAGTTTCGGAGGTAAAACACAAAGTTGTCTACAAACGGCAAAATTCCCGTCTCGATAACAACTACTCATTCTTTCGCCAAGCATGAAGATCATGCTTATGTACACAATGAACACGTTCGGAAACGGGACCCGACCCTGAATGCAGTGCTGATGATGAAAGACTTTGACCTCAGTGCTGGCTCCTACTATCCTACTATCAAAATATAGCAGCTGAAGGCAGCAACAGCTTGCCATCATTAGATCCACAGAGAACGCAATTCATTTATGATAATATTGAAATTATGATGACTTTATTCAAAGCAATGAACGCAAACAGTTTGACGTTTGACGATGGTTTCTGTGATAAAGGCAAAGCAGAACGCACACACTCCGCATTTATGCCTCATTTACTCATTGATCTTCATGTAGATTCACAACGACGCTCTTCCAGAATGTCGGAAGCAAAAATTCTATTCTTCAGTCCGGAAGTTAAGGTCAAGAAAGTTTTAGAATAGACCCTCTTTGGTGACACGCATGGCATGGATTTTAGCGGTTCATATAAAGAGGTGACACTCTTTTAGTCCATGATTAGGCATCACCTACGATATGTGACTGGCACCGTGTATTCGTTCAGCTGAGTCAAAAACTCACTGTCCTACAAACAGAGCAAAAGAATTGAGGGCTCTTCTGATTAAAGCGTGGTGAAATTCTGACGTGAATGACCTCCGTCCTCCGAGTTCTCAACACCATTCAGGACAAGACATTTATGTGCAGAGGCAGTTAACCGTTTCCCGGTCAGCGCTGACGAAAGTGATTTATGAAGCAAAGACGTCGAACAGAAAGGCGCCGGAAATGCTCGCCAAATCCGACTCGAGGTCATAACCGATTCATCTTGTTCGACTCGTCCATCGGTGAGTGTCAGACCCGATGGCGCAAAGAACATGTCGGATTAGCAGAAGGAAAGAAATTTACGCACACCAGTTGTTCGACGAAAGCTAACGACTCCCTAACTCCCTACAGAAGCATAACCCTAACGAGGTGCAGTGGCATCGGGATGAGGATGCCAGTTGCAACCTTCATCGCAACCGATAATGTGTATCGCAAAACAGAGAAAATAACTCACAGCCAGTAAGACGGTAAATCTGTGCTAATGATACCAATTTTTGCTTAATTCGTAACGAGAATCGTCTGTCGCTCGGTACGCACTATATCCAAGAGCAGCTTTACAACTTTAAAATGAAAATCAATCAGTCTCCTTGTCGAATAAAACCCAAACTTAACTTTGCGTACGAACATGCGACAATTCTATATATGACCGGCACAAAGTCTCGGCCGCGGTTTCTACTCATCCTCTGTGAGGTGATGAAACCGACTGTTTCATCTCATCCGTTTCATACATGAAGGTCAGCAGATTAGCTGCTGGTCGACGCTGCCCCCTTACACGTGATGTTCGTGATGATAATAAGATCGTTGGGTGAAAATTCTCTCTAACCCTGCGTATCGGTTGTTCAAAAGTGTCACGGCCTCGGTCAAAAAGACTACGCACTAAATAACACTAAATAAAACTACAAAATACATGCTCATGCCAGCGCAAACCGAATCGTACCGCAAGCCAACGGTAGACTCGCCGCTTCACAGTTAGCTGCAGCAAATCTTCCATCACTCTTCTCCCGACGGTGGAAACTTTAATCGAACATCGCTGCTTGCTTGTGTTGCTCTATCATATACATGCCATCCATACGTCCTTACGCGTTCAGCGTTTACGTTCATGTTTTCTGAAAATCGGAATGCTGGAGGATAAGACGTACTCCTTAGCATCGTCCAGTAAACAGCTACAATTACAGTATTTAAAAGAGGATCAATCTGTGAGCCAGCCTTACCACTTGGACGAACCTCTAGACTGACAGGTTCACAACCGTAACGTCTGTCGTGCATTCATATACAAAGTAACATTGCAATCTTTGTTCATTTTACCAACGACGTCAAACTTTTTGTTAATTATCAGGTCTTGCGTAAGTTTTCACTCATTTCATCCATCTTCTTTTCCGGTCAGTCACGGAGCAGCTACTTCAAGGGCTTTCCCAGTGGCTCCAACCCGACCCAATCAGCTGAGCTACACGGGCTAGATTAGAAGATGCCACCGTGTCAGGTCTATGTAGCGTAATTTAGCCATCTAGTTCGCGATCTGCGCCTCTGCCGTCTTCCATGTTGTTTTAATATGAGAGGTCGTCTCGCGAGTCTCTTCTGCGGCATCATGATGTCATCGTAACTGTGAACTCCTGAGAAGCAGCGACTCACAAGGGAAGGTTTCTCGAACTGTCGAGACTCGTCACGCCAGCGCTCATTTGAAGAAACCTCATTTTGCCGCTATAACCGGGATCGCACTGCTGTTCATATTCGACTCTCATAATACGAGTATTAAAAGTGATCAGAGAGATGAGTCAAATAGAGAATGCATTCAATACTCACCTTTTGTCGACACATTTTGCGATTGTCAACCGCTTCTAGCCATCTTTAATCGAACTTGGGTACCTGTATTCTTTGCGATTGGAATTTCACACAGGCAAAGAAAACGAGCCTCTGCGAAGGTTAATCAGTTATAACGGAATGGTGCATAGTAATATTTTTGCACGGTTTTTCTAAACGCTCTTCCGTGTCTTTCAAATGGGCGCTGTTGAACCTGATTTATGCGCTAATTCGTTGCTGAAGCCGTTTAATGATGCAACGTCGGAGCCACCGCAAACATTAACGGTTCATAAAAATAATGCAACGCATTTCGTTCAGGCCAATATTGGCTAACCCCCACCCCCAATCAGTCACGGATCCGTCCAATTTGAAGAAATTTACGAAGCGTCGTTTAGAAAACTCCGTCCCTCAATCCAGCTAAACAGATGTCTCTAATAACCAGAGGAGAGAATAGCTGTTGGTATTGGCAGCTGTCGACCTTCGATAACAGTTATTCGATTCTTCGGTCAAGTACATTCCAAGTTATACTTGTCCGTCTTGGAACACGGCTCTGTTGCTAGCAGTGGAAAAGCAGTCGAGACGGTATATGATGCAATATTTTCTCGGTAGCAACAATTCTCAGTACACATGGGCCGTCATTAGACAATGGAACTGGCGACCTGGAATTGAGGAAAGATGTTTGAACGAGAAACGTTTGATACTTCACTGAATTTATTACTTCTGCGTATTATAATTATGTTTCAGATCATCCTTTAAAATGTAACAGACAACCCATCTGCATGCAAAGATGCTGATGAACAGTTTTTGTTCGAAATCAAACGTGTTTCGAGCTGATCCGTCCGTACCCCGATGATGCTGGTACGAAGTCGGCAGAAATATGATACAAACAATTCCACTAATCATCATGTCATTATTGTCTGATATCACAAGAATTCTTGTTCAAACCAGGGTTCCTGTTCAACGATGTCAAAAGGCAATTGTTGTCCCCTCCCTCCTATCCCCCCTCCCAGCCATAATTAATGATTATTTATGGAAGTGGTAAACAGGAACAATGTACATATGTACATAGAGTGGAAAACGTACGACCTGTATTTCCCTACCGATTATTTGCAACTGCGTAGAACTAAGTGAACACTGAGTGATCGCTGTTCAATCGAATATGTCTGATGGCCATGCTCCCTCAGTTTGTAGTTTCGCCAATGTCACGGCAACCTGATGCGTATCGAATGGTTGTGCCTTTTCCATTCCTCTCTGCATCCTCTTAGAAAGTATGTATCACATGCTTAGTTAATTTATTTCTTCGTCAAAATTCTTATACTAAACAGCATGCCACTATACTGTTTCACGGGGTTCACTCACTGACTGTAAAAGTTGTCGGAGGAATGAGGCAGCTTATTTAAAGTATATTTCAGAAATAATTACAAGCTTAAGCAAAGTAGAAGAAGTAGAGGATCAGCCATAACGGAGTCCGCAGAACGATCAGTCCTGGCGAATTATCAGGTCGTAAAACAGAACTCCCGCAAAACGGTTGGAAAATAAGGTATCTGGGGGGGGGCAAAAGACTATTCTACAACCTTTAATACCGCAACCATGGGAAGATGAACAGACAATGTGTAACCTATAATATCTGCTCAACATCGACACCTGCTGCTGCTGCGCTATTATAATTTCCAATAACTCATTACTTCATTACTGCGATTG